CTTTATTTAAAATATATATTTTAAATAAATTTATTTGAAATGAGACCGAGTCCTGATATCTTTAATTGTAATATGAACATTTAAATAAATATTTTCAAATATTGATGTACAATGAATATTTGTAATTTATTTTGTTGTTAAATTTTATAAATTCATTATAATAAATAAATATTTTTTTTTCTACTTGTGATACTACTGATTAATTACTCAGGCCAAAAAGTTATTAAATAACTCTAATCAGAATAGATATTTTGTATAGATTTTTTATCACAAAAAACAATGTCATTAAACCTTATCATGTCAAGTTTTGACGATAAATCAGCGATTTATAGAAAGAAGTTGTAGATGCGACCTCTTATCAATCACTTAGAGCGTTCTTCCTAAATACAACTAGTTAATAGGTCAGGTCCAGCTTGTCATGAAGGTGATTGTGTGTACTTTTAATTCGATCTTTTTTCGCTCCAACTTCGCTCCCATATGTCGGACAAATGGCATACAATAGCACATATGTATATCTGATTCCTTTCCTTTTTGATATTACCCATCCCCTTTTTGATATTACCCACCAACTTGTAAGTCTAGACAGAAATACTCGCTCCGTCTTAAAGGAGAACAGCTGAACACAAAAAATCATAATACATCATAAAGATATTATCATAACGTTATATATTTGTCAGTTATCGCTGATGCCATTTTTTTTTCGCTCTTTTCCCAACTTCATTGCCTAACAAAATTATGGAATATTTTAAATAGTTGGCAATTTATGTTCGATACAATTAATTGAATCCTTAGCAAAATAGCATTAGCACAGCGTTTACATATAAGCAATAGCATAATTTTTCAACTCAATCACTTACTATAATCTTTTCAATTACTTATCATAAGCTAATTATTTACTAATTAGACTGTATTTTTACCATCATTTATTTTCTTATTTACCAAATCTCTCTCACAGATTTTAATGCGCGTTTAGAGTTATCATATCTGAAAAAACAACAAAAGATTACACTTTTAAGTACATTTTTTTAAAAAATATCGATCTGGAAACGGAAGAAAGGGATATACTTTTTTTATTTAAATTAAATGCAAGTATTTAATGAAATAAGATTTTTAGAACATAATTTTTATATTAATGATTCTTATTAATATAGTTTTATAAATATAAAATTTTAATTATATATATATATATATATATATATATATATATATATATATATATATATATATATATATATATATATATATATATATATATATATATATATATATATATATATATATATATATATATATATATATATATATATATATATATATATATATATATATATATATATATATATACGACATATAACAACTAATTATAAAATTAATTTTTAACGACGATTATAGCAAATTATTTAATAATTTAAAATATTTAAACATGCCTAACCTTACTCGATAAAAGGCGGTTTGAATGCCAGTTTGCGCAATATCGCGAAATTACGCGCGGTCTTGAGAAGTCACCGATTATAGCTATAAGACTGCAACGTTTCTATATATTTGTGTAAGCGCAGTACATTTATCACAGATTCGATTTATCCGCCGCATGTGATAGTTAACGTTTTTAGATGTTAGTAAAATCAATTCGCGTTCATAGATGAAATAATTAATTGCTACCACCTTTCTAATTTTTGACTTAGTTTAAACTATTTCTGTTAAATATACTGGTGAGTACATTAATATAAATGACAATTACGTAAGTAACAAAAACATATAAGGAAATTCTCGTTTCTAAAAATTACATTTTCAAAATTGTGATATAAATTGATTAAGTTATTAACAATATTTGTAATGACAATAACTACAAAATTTGAAATTTAATATAAATTGAGAATTTACTATCTGGAAATTCATAGACCTTAGAAAGCATGTATATACTATTAGGTGTTGGAATTAATTCGTAGCGTTTTTTAATGAAAGAATGTTATTTATTTCACATGAGCATTAAAAAATACATTAATGAAAGTACTTCCCATCACTTGTAAAACGCTACGAATTAATTCCAACACCTAATATAAAATCTATAAAGACAAAGTTTACAAAAATGATAGAACTAAAAATAGATAGAGTATTACCTTTACATTTAATTTTTATTACGTGTTTCGTAAACGTTATAAACTCAAAAAAATAAAAAGTTAATACGCGCTCTCACACATAAATACTCACATTTTTCATTTTTTTTCAATTTACGCTTGATAATAAATTGCTTTTAAGCGTGTATAGATTTATAGAGTATTAAGCAGCGTTTACCACAAAATTTTAAAACTTAAGCTTTAAGAAATTAATCATAGCTAATCAATCATAGCTAATCATTTCTTTCATATTCGACTCTGTGCAATTTCTTACAGTTTAAAGCTCAAAGCTTTACGTCTTAACATTTCAGTGTAGACGCTACTTTAAACGTAAAAATGTATATAGTACAACTTAAAAACACCTCACAAATCTTTTTCTTAGTCTTAGATTAGAATACTCACTTAAATCATGATAAATTTAAAGAATATTTTTGCTTGCTTTATTAAAAAAATTTAGAGATTGCATTCTAATTCAAATTATATTTGTCAACTTTAATCACCAAGTCTTAAAATCAATGAACGATTTAGAAACTGTGCATAATTATATATTATACGACGGTTATTTGCAGTACTAGCAATTTTCACGTACAGAATCTGAGTGGTCATTCTTCACCTTTCAGCATTTCTTGCCCTCTTTAATATTCGAGCCATTTACATTCACGCAAATTCCAGTTTTAAAATTTTCAAATCACGCATAATTAAATAACGATTACAAAATACGGATTAGAAATCCAGTAAGTATAAAAATTGCATTTTTCATTTTAAAATAGATTGTTTAAAATAGTCCCTTATATGACTTGTTTAATAATATGTTAAATTTATATCTATATACACATATATATATCTACTGTTTATGTATTGTACTTGCAAAAACGTTCATGATTAATTCTTTACTGAATTTATAAAAAAATAAGAATAAAAGATTTAATATTAGAATATATTCGGATATTACTTGAAGTTTTTATTAGCGTAATTTATTAATGAACAATTCAACTTTTATATTTACTTTTTATAAAGTAATCTTTAATGAAACAAATAACAAACTTTATAATTTTGTTTAAATAAATTTTCTAAACATTTAAACTTAAAATTTAAATAAATTTAATTTTTTTAAACAAATTTTACAAACTCTAATAAAATTATAATTTAATTACTAGATGAAAAAATTGAAAATTAAATTGATTTCATAAAATTCTTCATATTAAAGAAGAATCAACTCCAAATAATTAATGAATAAACTAATACCAATTATATTTGTAGGTTTTCTGAACTGCAAATGATGACAAATGTTATAAAACCAATAAAACTTATATCTAATATAATAGTCGGCACTTGCAAGCTGTAGTTTACATTTTTAAGTATCACACATTTTAATGAGAATGGGCACAAAACTTGTTTTCATCGTATTTATGCTTACTGCAGTGGTACTGGAAGCAAAACTGAATCTCCGGGAAAACTTAGCATTTCCTCGGAAAATAATATTCAACTATCTGTTTCCTAAGGATCCTGGTATAGTAAGAGTAAAGAAGCCAGAACAAATTCAAACAGCAAACAATGTAACATTGGATTTTGTGAGTATGAGATTGTCTCTTAATGCGTATAATATGTACTAAAAAAATAATAGTGTAATTATATATACATTAAGAGAGATTAATTACTTACAATTAGATAAGAAATCTTTTAAAAGAAATCTTTTTTTTAAAAGAAATATTTTGCTGCATTAACGATTGCATAACGATTGTTTTAAGTTAACGACAATTTTGCTTTTAATAATATTTCGCTCTGAGATATATGCAGGCCGGATTGGTAGAGAGATATGGTTATCCCACTGAAGAACATTACGTCACAACGGAAGATGGTTATATCTTGGTAATATATAGGATATTAAGAAGTCCACTGTCTAAAGATTATCGAAGAAAAAAAGTTGTGTTTCTTCAACATGGTCTTATATGTTCATCTGACTGTTGGGTGATAATCGGTCCTGAGAAAGATCTTGGTGAGTGATTTATTTATGTGTTGGTTATTATTACCTGATATGTTAATTACATTCTGAATAATTTTGTTATAATAGCAATATAACTTCAAACAAATCAGCAACAAAAAATATAAAAAAATCAGTAATATAACTTCAAGTAGAATTCCTCACATTTCACTTTCTGCATTTATTTTAAATTTGTGTGAAATCTTTCATGGCACGATTTAAACAATTCTGTTTCTATAAATATAAAAGTTCTATGAGTACAAAAAGTTAATAACAATAAATAATAAAAATAATTATTTTAAGAAGTAACTATTTTAGAGACTCCTTTAATTATCAATTAAGACATAGATTCACGAGGCATTAGAAGTCCGCGCTTCTTGTCGACCAATTTTTAAACTTAATGCCTAACTGTGGTGCAATATTTATTTTGTTCTTTATATTCTCCGTATTATTAATTGACTATTGTAAAATGTGGATTGCTTGAACTATGAGGTGAACAAAAAAATTTTTTGTAACATCACAGATTCTATCCGGTTTCTAATATAAGGAAAATACTTCTTTTGATTTAGCATTGAGATGATCAATCCATCATCACTCAGCTATGAAACTGCAGTGTCACAACATTGATTAATGTTGAGGATGATCGCGTATCACTACTTGACCCATGCAAAGTGCATTTGGAAAAAACATGAGATATATTTTGCGATTTATTAAACAACGATATAATTGTTCAATGTCGGTAATTATTTATACATGTATTTGCTGAGGATGGCTCAAAACAGAGACGAAACGTCCAGAAATTATTAAATTATATTTTTATTTATATATATATTTTTTCTGTCATTAGTTATATTTGTACAAATAAGTATTAGCGCTGATTCCTAATGTCTCGTGAATCTATTGTCTTACTTTATCAAAAAGTGAAATAATTAAATATATACATTATATAGATAGATGTAGTAATTAAAAGAACAACAAATATTGCTAAAGTATCGAAATTTAGTAAGTAATCGAAATTTTCAATATTTAAACTGCATCTGTTACTGCTCTGAACACGATATGTTAATTGCATATATAATCACATATATATGTGTACGTGTAGGCTTGTTTATCTAGTTTACGCTAAAATTGAAGACACTCAACATGTTTACCTTGACATTACTCATCTTTGAGAACTTATAAGGGGGTCAATGAAACATCTCAGGTGAAAGTCTTGATAAATATTTATTACGCGAAATATAGAGCAAGAGATTATTTTACAGAGACAAAATAATAAACATTTAAGTTCCAAGAAACAAAAAATTTAACAAATTTAGCAAGTAAATAGATTAACTTTGTTATAGGATTCTTGTTAATTTATAAATTATCTTATAAAATTTGACCAAGATTTATTTCAGAAAATTAATAAATAATACTGTTATTAATATGTTATTATATTAATATGTTATTTTAATCAGCTTTGTTATCTTATTTTAAAACAGCATTATCAATTTAATAAAATTGTTTATTTAAACATATATGTTTATATATGTTAACATTTATCAATTTATATAACATCAAACGATTTATTAAAATACACTTAATAAAAATATATTTATTATATTACATTGATAAAAAATGATGTTATTAAATCAATTTTTTATTTTACTTTTTTAATCAAATTAAAAATTTTTTAATAATTTAAATTTTTTATTAAAACAACGAAATGTCTGAATTTTAAACAACAAAATATTTTATATTTAAAAAAAAAACAGATAATACACTCCAGACTTCAAACAGAACATTATAGGGTAAATATATGATAAGGAGGGAAGCAATTACATTTTTATATGAAATAATGGCTACTAATAGTTAACTCGACAATATAATAAGAAAACTAATTTATATTCTTATGTTGTAGCATTCTTATTGGCTGATAAAGGATATGACGTATGGCTTGGAAATTTCAGAGGAAATTCTTATTGCAGATCACATATAAAAATATCTCCAAAAAATAAGGAATTTTGGCAATTTAGGTAAAATTTTACTCTGCAAGTGTTATCTAAAGAAATATTTTTACTCTCTTTTCAACATTTTAATTATTTTAATCATTTATATTTTTCTCTTATATTTCTTAAATTTTATTTAATTTAACATATTTTACCTAGAACATTAAATTAAAAAAAATCAATTTTTCATTAATAAAATATATGAAAATTACTAATATAATACTAAGTACAAGTGTATTTATATAGTGTAAATAAAATACTTGTGATTTAAAATGCTATAATTGAGTAAAGAAACAAGTTAAAAAACGAAACCAGAATAATATTCAAAGATAAGTTAAGGGGATATAACACCTTTGCGGCTTCAAAAAATAAAAAAAATTTTTTATTGGCTTAAATGATACTTTAAGATGTCTAGAATATGATCCCATTAACGCCTAAGCGATCTTGAATTTATTTCACGAAAATAGCTATGCTTGTGTGTTAACGAAAGGGCCTTGGGGCGCTCACCGAGCTCGCTGCCTTTCTCTTGCGTTTGTCAAATATTTCAGGATGAAGTTTTCAAAGCAGTCAAGCCTATCTACGAAGAATTAATTTCTGACGATTTATTATCCCGCTGTCTTGGCGGGCATACTCAAAATAACAACGAGAGCTTCAACTCTGTGCTGTCGTCTATAGCGCCGAAAGGGGTCCACAGCAGCAAGGCGATCGTTGATATTGCTGCAAATATTGCTGTTTGCAATTTCAACGATGGCCTAAAAAGTATTGGAAATTATGCAAGTTTTTAACTTAACGATCGGTACCACCTGCTACAACTATTGCATAAAAACCGATGAACGGCGGATCCGCGCAGCCGAGCGCGCC